GGATGGAGGCCTCGGCATCGCTGCCCATCCACGGGAGGCTGGAGCGCAGCCGTGGGGATTCGGCACCCGCAGCCCCGGGAACAGCCGCGCTTGAGATACCCTCAGCACGAGCGCACCCGACTGGAGGGGCTTCATCCAGCTGGGGATGAGGCACTTTGCAAGCACAGGAAGATGAACCAAGTCAAGGCCGCCTAAAGCCCGAGCACATGTCGCAGGGCTGAACAAATCCCACCGACGTTCCTACCTGTGGCTGACCGGATTTGTTATCCTATAGGCTCCCAGAGGAGCAAAGATTCCAGCTCCCGGCTTGCTCCAGCCTACCAAAGCATTTACAAACACACACGGCCCTGCACAGATGCCACCCCGCTCCGTGGGCTGCCAACCCCAGCGCACGGGCAGGCGGCTCCGCTCGTGCCCGGCGGCTCCGCGCGCTGCCCCCAGCTCCGCTCGGGACGCGCAGGCCCAAAAAGCTGTTTCCTGACACCTCACCAGAAACACAAATCCCACTCAGTTTTCACTGCTAGCAATGTTCACGTTTCCATGTTCTCCTCACAAGCTCCCGGAGAAGCTCCCAGCTTTTCTACGCTTGCTGGGATCAGACACTGCGGCATGTTCCGCGTCTTGGGCTTTTGAGCGACCCTGGCATCACATTGAACGGCCACAGGTCCCCTCTGCTGTGACAGGCCAAAACCCAGAAAGGCGAAATTCCAGAGCGAGGATGCAAGGGAGGAGCAGCTGGAGCGCCCGGGGCCAAAGCTCCCCCAGCGCTTCCCAAGGTCCCTCCTGTGGCTCCAGCACTAGAGGGTCCTGGCTGAAGGCTGGGGCCAAACACAACCGTATAATTAGTGAAATCCAGACAATTTTTGTTTCTGTACATTTTCTTTAGTGAAATCTAGCCCAGACAGCTGAGCATTTCATTTTGAAATCAAAACCTCATGTCTTTCTTGATCGCGAATGCAAAATGGGGACTTGAGGGTTTAAAGACATGACAAATTATGGGACGCTGCAGGGGCTGAGAATTCCTGTCTCCAAGGATGCTGACTGTTATAGCCTTGACCTTTTCTGCAAATGCCATCCTCTCTTATAAAAACGTGGCTTGGAGTTTATTTGGAAATTCTTGTAAAGCAAGAAGCGGCCCCTGGAGCGGGCGCGCGCGGGGGCTCTCCCCGCGGCCCGGGACGGCTCTGTGCAGGTGCTCCCTCACGGCGATGGCGCTGCCGGGATGAGCCCGGCGCGGGATCCCGTAACAGGAGCCTGGAACGGGGCTGAAATCGAGCCCGGGCTGGCTCACGCGGGACAT